GGTTTCTCCATGCGGAATCAGGACAAATCAGACAGAAGACCACTCGGATCAATGAATGTTTTTTCTTGCATATGTGACAGTGGCATTTCTACGTAGGAGTGACTCCCAATCTCAAATTTCTTTCATTTTGAATGTCTGATGTTGTCATCCCCCAATTGATAATTCCGTGCCCCAAAATGGAATAAAAGATCTGGAATGATTCACAGTATTAATATTCAGTTAATAATATTATTGGCAAGGGTTGGAATCCTTTATTAATAATATTATTGGCAAGGGTTGGAATCCTTTATTAATAATATTATTAGCAAGGGTTGGAATCCTTTATTAATAATATTATTGGCAAGGGTTGGAATCCTTTATTAATAATATTATTGGCAAGGGTTCGAATCCTTTATTAATAATATTATCTTAGCCGAGTATTAGGTACGTCATTAATCCCATTGGGACTTATAATTACTTGTCATTATTGAACAATGTTATTTCAATATTTTAGTGCTGTTGGGTTCGAAATATTTTTAGGCTAGTTATGCCATACGTTATTAACCTATTTTTCAATTGTATTTTTGATATCGAGGAGAAATGTTACTACAAGGTGTTTAAGTGCTTAAAGGTTCGAATCCTTTATCAATATCATTTAAGCTAGTTATGGATACCTCATTTAACATTGTGGAATTTAGTATAGTGTGACGTAACCTCTAGTCTATTTGGCATCCCAGAGTTCGAATCCGTTATTGTCTTTGCCATTCAATGCGGATACTATATACGTCAATAAACCAATTGGGATTTCTGGTAATGACGAAAAAAAGTTTTTTTTGGAAACCGTGGCAACACAACAAAGCTGAGAACCTATTGACTACCAGATATGGTCGTTTGTTTCTAATCTGTTTTTTTTTTTTTGTTTGATATTATCAATATGTCAATGAATTATAACAAATAAGTTTTTGGGAGAAAGTTGATCTAGAATCTATTGGAAAGTTAATAAAACGAAACCTAGAGAACCTATTGACTACCAGACAGTATTGGTTGTATTTGATAAATATTGTCTGAATAACAGTCAGGACCTGGCTAGATTATTTACTTCCTCTATCAGATATTGGATTTTTACTTATTGGAACTAATATTTGGATTTTGATTCGTTTCCAATTCCACTGTCATGGCGATGGATGTAATATTAGAATATTGTAGACATCAATAACACCTTGAATCAAAATCTCATCAAACCATATCTATAATTTGTTGTGTTATGAAAAAGACAAAGTACTAGAAGACACAAGACGCTTCCGTTTTGGAGTTGTTTTTATTTTTTTTTATTTTTTGGCAACAATTAAAACCTGTCAATGGATGGCTAGTTTGTTTTATTAAAAACTGTCATTATGCTACCTCATGTATTAAACATGTAAATTAAGTATGCTCGAGTCCCATTCTGTCCCCGGAAAAGTTGGCCACTCTCTTGTGTTTGAAACCAAAGCTTATATATATATATATGTATGTACAATTTGTAATTTATTATAAATATGGAATAAAATAAAAATGGATGCCAGACGAAGCCAGTAAGTTTAGAACTACAGAAAGAAAGACATAACTCATACCATATTGCTGAAAACTGAATAATTAAAGCCATTTTGAAATGTCGTAGCTTACCTGTTGTATAGAATTACCACCACAATGTTGATCTTCTGATAGTCCAATTTATCACAAAATATAACTGACCTATCTGATCTACTTATACCACAATGTACAACTATGTATCTTACAGTATAATGTATCTTTAACACAATGTTTTATTAAATACAACGATGTATCTATTGACAGCACTATCCTTAACGATTTAAACAATGTTAACCTTGTATCCAAAGGTAAGCCAATCTGAACACGAGATATGACAAAATAACACAATGTATCATTCTGATGACCAATCTCTATAAATGTATCACTATGTATGATTATGATGACCAATCTCTATAAATGTATCACTATGTATGATTATGTTGACACTATGTCTCACAATAAACTATGATATAATACGGTCCTATCTAATATTTGTAATAGAAGAAAACTAAATTAAACACTGATTAAGTCAATATATGGTTTAATTGCTCGTCTTAAAGTGATGTAGCTCTCGAATTATTCACTTCGTAATCTCAAATCTAAAGGGATAAGGTCGTGTTGATAATTGCATTGTCTGTTGATCGGTCTCTCTGTATCGCTTTTCGGACCTAAAATTCTAGGTCTAGTTTTCCTGCAATTCAATGAAAACGAAGCAAAATAATATCTTGCTAGCGTCAATTGCACTTTCTTTATCAATTTACTTACGATATTGCCTCATTCGATGACTCTATACCATTAGTCAAGGCTGTAGCGCAATCCAACTTCAAATTGGGGAAGAGGTTTAAAAGCCAACCCACCTACCGCACATACCGGAAATAACAAATAAAAATTGTTAAATTTTAAGATCGAAGATATTTTTTTTTTCACAGTTTCTGATTCAACTCTTACAAATTTGAAAACAAAAATTTCACCAAATTGACTAGTTTCGTTTTGTAGTATGAAAATCTGCGATCCTTAAATTTAACAGATCTCGTTACTTCCGGTAGGTGTGGTAGGGTGGTTAGCTTTTAAAACTCGCTATTGAAATTAGGCACAATGGTTTCTAGGAGGTTTTGAAATATATAATTGAAAAGATAGAAACATTTAAAGATTGGTCATCGTTCATTTCTCTCAATTGATAGCCTACACTATAATACAGTCCTGTAAGCAGTAAGATAAAGTTATTTCAGTGAGAACTAATTTAGATGAGTCAATACCTTGAAAATAATATCACTGTTGAAAATAACCCGTTCTCAACACACCCATACCGCTCTATTATAACTTAACTTAGGGTGTAACCTCCGTTTTCAATTCTCTATAAAATCTTTTATCGTTAAAGAAAGAATGGTTGAATTGAATTAAATTATTTATTGTTTGTTGACAAAATATAGGCTGGGGTGAGAGTAGGACTGACGACATAATGACGATAGTATATACACAATATTTGTAGTTAATGACGATATGACATACCATTGACTCCCACTCCTGCCTCAAAAGCATTGACCGTGGATGGATGAAAGATTCTGTTTAATAGTTTTCTATCTTGTAGCATTTTATAAATCACTATAAAAGATAGTCTTTCCTCGAAAACACTGGCGGTGAATGTAAAATGGAATATTTTCTTTAATTACATTATTTTTTGTCCCGAATAATTTGTTATAAATAAGTATGAAGTAAAGCCACTGGCGGTGGATGGGGTGAAATATTGTCATGATTTACAATGCTTTTTTACCAAATAATATGCTAAAATCGGCTTAAAATAAAGTCGTTCCTAGAAAGCAAAGGTGGTGAAAGGGGTCTAATAGTGTGGTCAGTAAGATATCTGTCTACCTGATATTATCTTAGTCAATAGAGGGCATAAGAAAACACGTAGCTTCACTTCGAAAGCACATACGGTGGATGGGGCGAAATACTGTTGTCAGATGAAATATTTTTCTATCGGTTAATATCTAATGTTATGGAAAAAGCTTCTATGCGATACCCAAAACACACAGGAAGTTAAATATGATTATATTGTTGTCGTTATCAACTGAAATATCTTCATGTTTTAAAGACAATCGTTTAAAAATTTCATAAAAGCTATCAAAATATATCTTCAACTATAAAAATGAATGGGAAAGTGGGGACAGATCAAGACAACGCCCTGTCATGGGGTATTAAAATATGTATAGTACTTGATGCTGTTAATTTGTACTTGATGCTGTTAATTTGTACTTGATGATGTTGAGTTGTGCTTGATGATGTTGATTTGTACTTGATGATGTTAATTTGTTCTTGATGATGTTAATTTGTTCTTGATGATGTTAATTTGTACTTGATGATGTTGAGTTGTGCTTGATGATGTTGATTTGTACTTGATGATGTTAATTTGTTCTTGATGATGTTAATTTGTACTTGATGATGTTAATTTGTACTTGATGATATTAATTTGTACTTAATGCTGTTAATTTGTACTTGATGATGACGCGAATGCAAGGACCTTGACCTTCTAATATGCCCTTTTCGTGACTAGTTCAAAAATTACACCCCTTTCTAAAATTATCATCTATAGTAACTTTATTATAAGTGATAGCAGATCGGGTTTTACGGTTAACGCCTACACAATCCACAGAAGCATTGGCCGTGACGGAATTTGAACTACTTTTCTGTTAAAGGAGCGAATGAATTGGAATCGTTTCTTAACGAACCCTCGTAGTACATCTCACTGGAAACAGTGTGCGGACAAGGTTCAGACTTCTCGGGCCGTCAATAATCAATTGACCTAAGTCATAAGTCAGTTAAGATATACCACTCGGTAACATGGGTTATGTTGAAAGAAGACAACATGATCCACGAAAGCACTGACCGTAAATTCAGATCAGAGTTTATCGATAACAGAAGGGGTAGCCTTAGGCCAATTGTTTGATTCGTATCAAAGTATTTTTTATTCTATCGATAACCTATAATTCATCGGGGTGAGAACTAATTGATATACAACCCTAGACTGATATCCAACTTATTATTTATACAATAATATTATACAATAATTCCTTCATAACGCAAGGTGTTACCACTTCAAAACTTGTATCAAGGTAAAATAATGAATTGTATTTGGTATTTAGGTTTATCAACTTGGCAAAACTTTCAAAGAGTAATATAAATAACTATTTGGGTTTAAATTTTGTGAACTCAGAAACACTTTCAAAGAGTCTACATAGCCTATAATGCCCAATTGTTATATTTGGGATATGCTTGAATGGAAATCAACAAGAGAGCAGTAACTGCTTTTTAGAGAGTCCACATAGGTAATAATGTTCCTTTGTTATTAAGGTTTGTCAACTTTAGCAACACTGTTCATTTGGTATCTCATTCAGAGAGTCCACATAGATTATTATGTCCGATTATAATATTTTTGTGATATGCTGGAATGGAACTCAAACAGATGAGAGCAATAACTGTCGTAGTTTATTCTCCAGTACTCGATCAGGTTTGAAATCAGTTATAGATGGTCGAATACACTTTTTAATAATAACAGCTAATGGTTTCTTTATCGATGATGGAGGGTATCTCAGTACACCAAGGTCAATCTTAGAGTTACCCCATTTTAGAATCATATTACAAACACCCTGAAATAGAAAACATTGAAATATAATGACAGATGCCTAGATAAGATTTGTATTTGTAGACCAACGGTTGGTTCCCCCAAGTGCTTTCGGAAACCATCAGTTATTAGCTGCACACACACTCGACCAGAGCCTACAACCCCTACCTCGGTCCCCTCCCCTTTCAATCCTCCAACAGATGACAACTGTAATTGTCAATCAGATATACTGAGGTTGCTTAGATCCAGCGATTGATCAGATTCTCAAAGATGTCGTCAGTTACTAACAGTAACAGTTGTTAAAAATCTAGTGGCTCGCAATCTCTGCGAGTAGCTAATTCGACCAGATGGAACTCTTCCACCCACACCCTTTCCAACACATACACCACCACCACCTCAACAAAACCACGACCTTCGAACAAAAACACATACCTGAAGATTATTATTTTTTCGTTGTTTGAGACAAACACCCTCCTGACAAATTCCAAGACATTCTAGAATATCACAGTCTTTGTCTCGCCGACAGGGTGCTTTCATCTCGTATCTCTTCAACAATGTGGCATCAGGCAGCAAATCATCAGGATCGATAGGTTTCAATTCTCCGTCAGAATTAAAGCCAAAATTCTCTCCCTTTATATCACACATGTGTAAGGTTTGGTTAAATCCTGAATCTAACACACGTACAGTGTCTAGAAGTTTAATAGCTACCTTCACACGCTCTTTCCATGTAGACGTTTCCGGTATTAATGGATTTACCGATGGGTCCAAGATAGGTCCCGGGGGTGCGGATTCTAATAAATAAAACGGCCCACATGATTGATATATTTTAGGAAAGAAGGAACTGTGTTGGAATAATTTTGTGATGAGATATTCCTCCTGTTGGACCAGAGACCATACGCTCACAATAAACGCCTTTATTCCAAATGATGTGATGTAAGAATGATAATCTTTATGAAATACTCGCTGGATTACGTCCCCTTGGTAAATATCATTCGTCCCCAATGCTCTGTTAACTTTCTCTGAAACTCTAGTTCTAAGATCCTCTAGTGTATGTATAGGTAAGCTATCGGCTAGCTCGGGTAGATTTTGCTCCATGATTCCTAGATAGGCTGATAAAGATGATTTTAAAACAGCGTCGATGGTCTTTCCTGGTGAGCACACACCGTCACAATTGACCAGAACGCTGATCTTTCCCCCCAAATGGTTCGTACATATTTTATATTGCACTGTTTTTTCGTCGCATAAAGCCGGACAGAGTTTTCCCACTATTTTATTTTGTCTGTATAATTCACACTGAAGAAGAAAGAAATATGGAATTGTTATGCGTCTTATACATTAACACTAACGGCTGCACTAATCTCTTTTTACAGCGTTGTTTAGCGAGCAAGCTTCTAACTCATTGAGCCACCGCGGCTTCCTTCCTGTGATCAGAATGGAGCATACCAAACTATCGAATCCAATTAGCTCGTACAATTTTGGTACAATAGTCGTTTTCTGTGAATAAGACTAGAACATGCCAAACTATCGTGTCTAACTAGCTAGTAGATTGTTTGGTACAATGACAGTTTTATGTAGTCAGAATGAGACTAGAACATGCCAAACTATAGTGTCTAACTAGTTAGTAGATTGTTTCGTACAATGACAGTTTTCTGTAGTTAGAATTAGACTAGAACATACCAAACTATCGTGTCTAACTAGCTAGTAGATTGTTTGGTACAATGACAGTTTTCTGTAGTCAGAATTAGACTAGAACATACCAAACTATCGTGTCTAACTAGCTAGTAGATTGTTTGGTACAATGACAGTTTTCTGTAGTCAGAATTAGACTAGAACATACCAAACTATCGTGTCTAACTAGCTAGCAGATTGTTTGGTACAATGACAGTTTTCTGTAGTCAGAATTAGACTAGAGCATACCAAACTATCATGTCTAACTAGCTAGCAGATTGCTTGGTACAATGACAGTTTTCTGTAGTCAGAAAGAGACTAGAACATACCAAACTATCGTATCTAACTAGCTAGCAGATTGTTTGGTACAATGACAGTTTTCTGTAGTCAGAATGAGACTAGAGTATATCAAACTATCATGTCTAACTAGCTAGTAGATTGATTGGTACAATGAGAGTTTTCTGTAGTCAGAAAGAGACTAGAACATACCAAACTATAGTGTCTAACTAGCTAGTAGATTGTTTGGTACAATGACAGTTTTCTGTAGTCAGAATGAGACTAGAACATGCCAAACTATAGTGTCTAACTAGTTAGTAGATTGTTTGGTACAATGACAGTTTTCTGTAGTCAGAATAAGACTAGAACATGCCAAACTATAGTGTCTAACTAGTTAGTAGATTGTTTGGTACAATGACAGTTTTCTGTAGTCAGAATGAGACTAGAACATACCAAACTATAGTGTCTAACTAGCTAGTAGATTGTTTGGTACAATAACAGTTTTCTGTAGTCAGAATGAGACTAGAACATACCAAACTATCATGTCTAACTAGCTAGTAGATTGCTTGGTACAATGACAGTTTTCTGTAGTCAGAATGAGACTAGAACATGCCAAACTATGGTGTCTAACTAGTTAGTAGATTGCTTGGTACAATGACAGTTTTCTGTGGTCAGAATGAGACTAGAACATGCCAAACTATAGTGTCTAACTAGCTAGCAGATTGTTTGGTACAATGACAGTTTTCTGTGGTCAGAATGGGACTAGAGCATGCGAAACTATAGTGTCTAACTAGTTAGTAGATTGCTTGGTACAATGACAGTTTTCTGTGGTCAGAATGGGACTAGAGCATGCCAAACTATAGTGTCTAACTAGTTAGTAGATTGCTTGGTACAATGACAGTTTTCTGTGGTCAGAATGGGACTAGAGCATACCAAACTATAGTGTCTAAATAGCTAGCAGATTGTTTGGTACAATGAAAGTTTTCTGTTGTCAGAATGAGACTAGAACATGCCAAACTATAGTGTCGAACTAGTTAGTAGATTGCTTGGTACAATAACAGTTTTCTGACAGTTTTCTGTGGTCAGAATGAGACTAGAACATGCCAAACTATCATGTCTAACTAGCTAGCAGATTGTTTGGTACAATGACAGTTTTCTGTGGTCAGAATGAGACTAGAGCATGCCAAACTATCATGTCTAACTAGCTAGTAGATTGTTTGGTACAATGACAGTTTTCTGTGGTCAGAATGAGACTAGAACATGCCAAACTATCATGTCTAACTAGCTAGTAGATTGTTTGGTACAATGACAGTTTTCTGTTGTCAGAATGAGACTAGAGTATACCAAACTATCGTGTCTAACTAGCTAGTAGACTGTTTGGTACAATGACAGTTTTCTGTAGTCAGAATGAGACTAGAACATGCCAAACTATCATGTCTAACTAGCTAGCACATTGTTTGGTACATGACAGTTTTCTATTGTCAGAATGAGACTAGAACATGCCAAACTATCATGTCTAACTAGCTAGCACATTGTTTGGTACAATGACAGTTTTCTGTGGTCAGAATGAGACTAGAACATGCCAAACTATCATGTCTAACTAGTTAATAGATTGCTTGGTACAATGACAGTTTTCTGTAGTCAGAATGAGACTAGAGTATACCAAACTATCGTGTCCAACTAGCTAGCAGATTGTTAGGTACAATGACAGTTTTCTGTAGTCAGAATGAGACTAGAGCATACCAAACTATCGTGTCCAACTAGCTAGTAGATTGTTTGGTACAATGACAGTTTTCTGTAGTCAGAATGAGACTAGAGCATACTAAACTATCATGTATAACTAGCTAGCAGACTGTTTGGTGCAATGATATTTTTATGTTGTCAGAATGAGACTAGACCATACCAAACTATCATGTCTAACAAGCTAGCAGATTGTTTGGTACAATGACAGTTTTCTGTGATCAAAATGAGACTAGAGTTTACCAATCTACTATCATTGGTAGCCTACAATGGTGGTAATATAAAAGTGAAACTATACTTACGGCGCTTTTTATCCTCTGTTTATATAGAGAATCTGAACATTTTAAAAAGGTAATCGTCATATCTGGTGGTAAGTTTATATAAACTACATATAATATTATTACTAGTAATATTATCATTATACTCAGCTTTTTATATCTGGGCGAGAAAAGTCTTCTGGATTTCATTTTCTAATACTAATTCAGTCCAAATCTCATACCAAAATATATAATCCACGCACAGACAACGTAAATGTTGAGTCACTGGAACAGTGTTGGTATCTAACTAAATGCGCCTATTTCAGACAATTCAGTGAAGTTATACTATTTTCAATTTTATTTCTATCAAATGAGTAGAAATGGGTTACAGTGAATAGGAAACATGTTACCAAATCAAATTAGTTTAAATTAAATATTCAAATAATGATAATAGTCATTAATTAGTTTTTTTTAATCAATGCTCATAATTAGGTTATAGTCACCGCTTCAGTTATTTTCTAAATTATGATTCTCATTGTTTACTATAAAGGGTATTGTTTACTGTTACTAAATTACTTAGATGCAAAGTCACAGACATCGTACAGGGATACAGCCGTCTAAATATTTTCTGCATCAGCTCGTAGAACCAAGTATACCTCATCTATGAGGATAGGCTGAAAAGTTTTGAAATACCAGATCGACTGTTAAATGTATTTCTCTTTATGGTCCCTTCCATGTTTTACACGCTCTTGTCAGCGGTGCTGAAGGTCTGGATGCTAATTTTCAGAGTAACAATAACACCGCCGGAAGATATTGTGAGTCTTGTTATATTATTTATTTCTCTTGATAACACTGCATGTATGAACAGGTGAAACGTTGAGTTAATAAATACAGAAATAGTATATCTATATATCTAGTGATTCTATATAATATTTGATAACACTGTCTGTATGAACATGTGAAACGTTGAGTTAATAAATACAGAAATAGTATATCTATATATCTAGTGATTCTATATAATATTTGATAACACTGTCTGTATGAACATGTGAAACATTGAGTTAATAAATACAGAAATAGTATATCTATATATCTAGTGATTCTATATAATATATGATAACACTGTCTGTATGAACATGTGAAACATTAAGTTAATAAATGTTAGAAATAGTATATCTATATATCTAGTGATTCTATATAATATTTGATAACACTGTCTGTATGAAGATGTTAAACGTTGAGTTAATAAATGTTAGAAATAGTATATCTATATATCTAGTGATTCTATATAATATGTGATAACACTATCTGTATGAACATGTGAAACGTTGAGTTAATAAATGTTAGAAATAGTATATCTTTAAGTTTCTAGTATTCTGTTCCGTACAGATTAAAGATTTAAAACTTTTAAAAAGAGTTGAAACTCTACATTTCAGCTCTGACAGATCGCAAAACGTAATATCCTATCATATAAAGCTAGTAAACTTCAAATGTAGTCTGTTGCTTTACGTCATTAAAAAGAGTTATTTCCCTTCGTTTGTAGAATAGAGAAATCCAGTAGATTAAAAAAGCAATAATTTACAGGACTTAACAAATGTAATTAGACATCTGGTCCATATTCATTTCTTAAGATATAGACCCTCAATGAAGTTATTCTACCTGCCTGAATTAACAAAAGTTGTCCTAAGCTTTATACCATAAACTAGAGTTGTTTCCCTTCACCTGTAGAATTTCTTCATGCAAGAATGAAAAATCATGATTCAAAGTATTGACAAAAATTTATACATTTTTATTTGAGATATTACATTTCATAATTATGAATACTTTAATCAATAACCGTAGTCTGTAGCTTTATAGTATCAAATAGAGTTGTTTCCCTCTAGCTGTAAACTTCGTTTACACTGAAAAGATTAATAGAAGTTGATCAAATGTCTATATTTCGGGTTTCCTTCAACATCAATCAAAAGGTATTTTTTTCAATTTGGGGTTAAAATCTTCTCCATTGCACAATATGTATATGCCACGAGAATAATGTTTTATGTGTTGAAAATAACAGACTATCAACTCAAATCTTCATAATCTTAAAAACACGCGAGGTGCGGGCAGGGACTAATGTAACGCTCTGGGGTGAAGGTTGGGTCTAATGGCTTGTTGAAGAAGTAAATATTTATTTAACATTTTAACATTTAAAATATGGTAGCCCGTGATTTGGATTTGGATTTTAGTGACTTGGCAACAAAATAGCATCGTGAATTATCAGTCTTCTCTGGCATGGGCGAAAGAGTCCACGATAGATTATTTGGACCATTACATGACAATGTAATTGAAATTACATTTCAATTTGGTTTTCTGATAACAAACATGAAACGAAATTTTTATCTTATTTTAATTAGTTTGATTAAAGAGGGAATATTATCAGGTTTATAAAAACAGGAATTTTCACCATGTCCTGTCTCTTAATGGCCAATAATATAGGTAGTTGTTGGTAGATGACAAGTTAACGTCTGTTTCCAGCTAACTGATATCACAGACTAGGTAGTTGTTGATAGATGACAAGTTAACGTTCTCTTCCAGCTAACTGATATCACAGGCTAGGTAGTTGTTGGTAGATGACAAGTTAACGTCTGTTTCCAGCTAACTGATATCACAGACTAGGTAGTTGTTGGTAGATGACAAGTTAACGTCCGCTTCCAGCTAACTGATATCACAGACTAGGTAGTTGTTGTTAGATGACAAGTTAACGTTCTCTTCCAGCTAACTGATATCATAGACTAGCTAGTTGTTGGTAGATGACAAGTTAACGTCTGTTTACAGCTAACTGATATCACAAAATAGGTAGTTGTTGTTAGATAACCACTTAACGTTTTCTTCCAGCTAACTGATATCATAGACTAGGGAGTTGTTGTTAGATAACCACTTAACGTTTTCTTCCAGCTAACTGATATCATAGACTAGGAAGTTGTTGGTAGATGACAAGTTAACGTCTGTTTACAGCTAACTGATATCACAAACTAGGTAGTTGTTGTTAGATAACCACTTAACGTTTTCTTCCAGCTAACTGATATCATAGACTAGGAAGTTGTTGGTAGATGACAAGTTAACGTCTGTTTACAGCTAACTGATATCACAAAATAGGTAGTTGTTGTTAGATAACCACTTAACGTTTTCTTCCAGCTAACTGATATCATAGACTAGGGAGTTGTTGTTAGATAACCACTTAACGTTTTCTTCCAGCTAACTGATATCATAGACTAGGTAGTTGTTGGTAGATGACAAGTTAACGTCCGCTACCAGCTAACTGATATCACAGTCTAGGTAGTTGTTGGTAGATGACAAGTTAACGTTCGCTTCCAGCTAACTGATATCACAGACTAGGTAGTTGTTGGTAAATGTCAAGTTAACGTCCGCTTCCAGCTAACTGATATCACAGACTAGGTAGTTGTTGGTAGATGTCAAGTTAACGTTCGCTTCCAGCTGACTGATATCACAGACTAGGTAGTTGTTGGTAGATAACCACTTAACGTTTTCTTCCAGCTAACTGATATCATAGACTAGGGAGTTGTTGTTAGATAACCACTTAACGTTTTCTTCCAGCTAACTGATATCATAGACTAGGTAGTTGTTGGTAGATGACAAGTTAACGTCCGCTTCCAGCTAACTGATATCACAGACTAGGTAGTTGTTGGTAGATGACAAGTTAACGTCCGCTTCCAGCTAACTGATATCACAGACTAGGTAGTTGTTGGTAGATGTCAAGTTAACGTCCACTTCCAGCTAACTGATATCATAGACTAGATACTTGTTGGTAGTCGTAGTAGTTGGTAGTTTGATTGGTTCAAATTGGATGATTATGTGCTGTTGGTTTGGTAGTTGTTAATTCGTGAGATTCGCTCGGGTCGACCCTAGGTGGTGTGGCGTGAGTTACTCGACCAGCTTCATTCTTCCAAATTCTGGTTGATTGGTAGTTGATTGGTTGTCGAAAAAACAATATATATATCTTTCAATAAACCCTGAAATACTGCGTCTTTAACTGTGTAATACCATATGTTTTTAATGATATGGTATTAAAATGTTAAACTAGAGCGTGTATTGGGCGTGCACTCATTAGAGACTCATAATGAATTGCATCATGTCAACCTAAACATGCCATTTTTATCTTTTATCGTTATTTTCTCACCATGTTCCGGCTTGTGAAACTAACATCTGTTCAGCCTCAATGTTTGATGGTTCCGATTTCTTCCATGTCTTCAAAAATATGTCGATTTGACATAATGTCGTTTTTAGCATATTTTTATTTTTATTTGAAAGATATTAATGTATTTTATTTCAAATTATTGGTTCATGTCATCTGCATTACGGTTTTAATATCACCAACATGTCGTTTTGACGTGTGTTATATTTACATATGTTGTTTTAAATTTGTAGAAATGATTTCTATTTTAGATTATTGATCGAACTATGTTTTGGTGTTGAGCTACGTGTCAGATATCTTTGATGTCACCTATGCCTCGTTTTGACATGTTATTAATTTACATATTCTATTGTAGATATTACATTAAAAGATTTATTTTATATTTTAAATTATTGTTCTATTCCAGATTGTTTCATGTTTTATATTTCTTTAATATAACAAAAATGTCATTGTGACATTCTGTAGAGTATAGATTAAAATATTTGTTTATTTTGAATTTTGAACTAAGGATTATATTTAATGTTGAGCTACAGGTAGCCGAGGTTAAATCCGAGCATTTGGTAAAACAAACAAAAATATTAACAAGGCAAATTATTCTTAAATGATTTGATTTCTCAAGTAAAGACATCAGAGAATGTCAGAGTTAAACTTTCAAAGAAACGACACAAAGCAGTAAAACATTTAATGAGATTCTTGACCACAGAACAAATCTGGCTTCCGACGTGGTAATCATATTGGATGTGGGAATCGGGGTCCTAAAACCGGGGGAACGGACAGTTGTTCACCAAACAGATGGTCATCAAAGAAATTAGAAGTAGAACACATCCTCATCACAAATTCAATGTTTAATGTTTCTTCTAACAGGGGGTCAGTTATAGCAAGAGATTATCATATTCTGACTTTATAACATAAA